CGGCGCCCACCTCAACCCGGCTGTCACGCTGGGGCTGCTGCTCAGCTGCCAGATCAGTATCCTTCGGGCCATCATGTACATCATCGCCCAGTGTGTGGGGGCCATCGTCGCCACCGCCATCCTCTCGGGCATCACCTCCTCCCTGTCTGAGAATTCGCTTGGCCGCAATGACGTGAGTGGGGTGGCCCTGGGCTCAGGGGGCTCTAGAACGATGCTGACGGGCACCAGTCCCATCCTCTGCCCATTTTGCAGATGGGGACGCTGAGGAACAGAGAGGACAAGAGGTTGCTGGAGGTCATGCTGAGAGTTGGGGCTGGAGCTCAGCGATGCCTGCAGCCCAGAGCCTGTTTCCTGCCAGGCGCTGTGGGAAGCTGAGATCCAGAGAATAATGGTCTTGCCAACATCCCCTGCAGGGCATCTATTATGGGGAATAAGCTTTGGAGGCAGCCAATGCCTGGGCCAGCAGTTCCTCACCCCAGGGCCGTCATTCCTGGCCCGTCTCAGCCCTGCCCAGGCGGCCAGCTCCCTCCCCCCGCAGCCCTGCACCCCGGAGAAACTTTGCCTGCTGACCCAGCCACCCTGAACCAGATGTCCAGCACATTTGCAGTTCTGCAAGTGTGTGAGCAGGACTCCCTCAGGGAACCCTGTAGGACCTCAGGGAGTCCCCTCCCATTCACATACATTCCTAAACAAACAAACTGTCCCAGCAATCAAGAAGAAAGACCCCCTCCTGCACCTCTGCCCCTGGGAATCAAACAAAGCTTAGGAGTGAGACCACCTTGCCGGGCTGTGAGTTTTCCTGGATTGCAGTGTGGACTAGGGGTCCGGGACTGGGTGCACGGTCTCCAGGCGCTGACAGGTGTGGCATGCATGTGGGTGAAGGTGTGTGTGTGTGTGTGTGTGTGTGTGTCTGCCAGCACGGCACTCTGAGCTTGTGTGGATCATGTGCACGTTTGTGTTGCTGTGAGAGGGTGTGTGGGGCGAGTGTGTAACCGCACGTGTCCACTGCTCCTGACTTGGGCTCTGGGTCTGGGCTGGGGTCACTAATGACAAGCAGATGTTGGCAACTGGGTAGCAGCTAGGAAAAGAATGTCCCTTGGGCTGTTAGCATTGCTAATTGGCCATTGGCGGCAGTTGCCTGCTGTCCCAGACTGGGCTTCTCCAGCTCCTCAGCCAGTGCAAACTCACGTGCTCTGGCCACCACGGGTGACAGTTCGGCCTGAGAGGCTGAGGAAGGCTTGGAGGATATCTCAGAGAGCCCAAGGGACAGGCAAGCAGGCATGGGGGTACCTTCACAGGGAAGGAGAGAGGTCAAGGAGCAGAGAAGAAGAGTCAGATCTAGAGAAACGAGGCTGGCGGGGTACTGGGCAGGGCAGGCAGGCATGCGGACAGGGCTGTGTCTGCTGAGGGTTCCCCAGAGATGGAGCAGGTGATTATGGCAGCTGTCCTCTCGCTCCCCAGCCAAAGTTCAGCTCCTGGGGCTAGCAGCCGGGGGTGGCTAGGTAAAGGTCTGGTGCACAGGGCAGCTGGCCCGACCCTGCCGCGGGGGGCTTAGCATGTCTGTGTCACAGTGACACCTCACCCAGCCTCCTTTGGAGCCAAACTCTGTTCAGCATGAGATTGAAGATTAGCTCCGCAGGTTGGAGTTTAGACTTTAGCCAGGGAAGACGTGGCTGCGGTGGGTGTAAGGGACAGGGCTAGGGCAGGCCACTTTCTACCAGGTCTCAGTCTCTCCTGCAGGGACAGAGTTGGTGGCCTCAGGAAATTCTACTGGATAGGCTCTAGAGAAACGGGGCTTGGCTGGGCATGATGGGGTGGGGAGGGGGTCCTCGTGGGGAAGGGACTGAGACTTCCCAGGCCCTCCAACCCCTTCCTTGTCCCCCCCCCGATCTCAAGGGACGGGCAAGTCCTATGCACCTGCTGGCAAAGGCTTTGCACTCTCTAATAGGGCATCCAAGGCAGAGGCGGGAGGGTGGGGCCCCTTCTGTGCCATCTGGATCCAGCCACACCCTGCTCTAGTGCCCCATCCTCTCCCTCCCCTCCATTTTCCAGAGTTACACCAATACCAGGGTGGGGCAGGCTGCAGATGGGAGAGGCAGGCACCCTGGGTTCGAGTCCTGTCTGCTGCTAACTTGTTGAGTTTCCTGGGAGCTGAGGACTCCGAGGCTCAAGAGGGAACTTGGATTTTGTGACATCTCTTGGCTACACCCATACTCGCAGCCCACTTTGTTGCCTTGAGCTTATCACCCATCCCAGGAAGGCTGGCTAGCGGGAGCCAGGAGCGGCTGTGCTGAGCACAAGGGCGCTCGACAGTATGGTGAGACTTGGATGCTGCCCTGTCCAGACAGTGGAAGGTTGGGGTTCAGGAGCACAACTCTGGGCCCAGAAACAGAGAAGGTGCTCCCTGATCCTGGAACTGTAGGGCCCTCCATGCCCCTAGTGTGGGGTGGTGTTCCCACAGCTCCTCTGGCCCTGGGCCCCACCCTGGCCAAATCCTGGGTGGGGCAAATCGTTGGCATGGAGATTTCCAAGGAAACTAGGGAGAGAAGCGGCAGGAAGTGGTTGGGGTGAGTCAGGGGGTGTCCCCCGGGACAACATGGTGGGGACAACTTTCTCCTGACTGAGTCAGGACTCAGGATACGCCCCGGAGAGACCACGGGCTCCGTTCATCCAGCAGGTTCTCGGAGCTATGCCTTAATCTTGGCCAAGGGTGAGAGGCTCTGAGGCTGGGGTGGACATCTGGCCTGTCCCTGCCCTACCTCAGCCACCAGCACTGAGTGCTGTCATACAATGGACCTGGCCCATGTGGCCCTAGTTCCTGTCTGTGAAATAGGGACATAGCAGGGTGTGGCTGGGCTCTGGGAAGTGGGAGATGCTGGTGAACTCAGGAGTCTTGGCATTTGCTGGCTTGGTTCATTCTTCTGCTCTGGCTCACTCATGTTGGCTGCTAGCAGTCCGACGGGGACTGCTGAACACAGGGCTGAGTCAGCCCCGCTCCCTGCCTGGAGAAGCCCACAGTCCCAGGACAAGATAAGCCTGTGCACAACTGCCTGTGATACGGGGCAGGAGGCAGGTGTGATAAGAGGTGTCAGTGCGGGTCTGGGCACTCCTGACCTTGAGGGTGGGAGGGCCAGGAAGGCTTCAGGGAGGAGGTGCCACAGGAGCCTGAATGTAGAGACCTCGAGAGGGAAGGGGCTTCTGGGCAAGGGATGATGTAAGCATGGGTGCAGAGGTGGTGGGAACCGTTAGAGTCATTGAGTATGGCTAGACTAGGGAGTCTTGGTGGAAGGGCGGGGTTCTAGAGGGTGATGAGGACCCAGCATTCGATCCAGAGTCTGATTGCATCTGGAGGGTCTATAAATCCAACCCCCAGGGGCTCAGGCAGAGGGCAAACCTCCCCTCTTTGGGGTCTTTTCTCAATCCTGCCGATCCAGGGCCTGACTGCTCTGGAAATGATTCCACCCGCAGCATCGAGTCCTGACCTCAATCCTAAACTCTCCCTCTCCCACAGTTTTCTCGGCCCAGCCATAGAGTGAAAGGGTGATGCTCTGAGAGGGCAATGCCCTGGCGCCCTGGGGTGCCCCACCCTGCCCCAGGCCACAGTCTCCTGTCACCCCTTGCCTCCTCCTCTCCACCCACGCTGCCTTCCAGTAGTGTGAGGTGGGGCCATTAGCTCACTGCAAGCCAACCCCCTGCCACCCGTTGTTTCGGGCCCCAGCTGCCTCCTTCAGAGCTTAGAGGTGGGCTGGGGAAAGGGAAGGCAGAGTTTCCGATGTCCTTGCTCTGCCTGGCCTGCCCAGGGAGAGGGCTGGGGGCTGGGTGGTGTGCCACAGCTGGGACATATAATTACTGTTTCTAGCCAGAAACAGATGAGAGGGAGGGCACAGAGGGAGGCGGGAGCTTTGTGGTGGAGACTTCCCTCACCACGGAAAATTCTGAGGCTGTTTCCCCCATTAGCACCCTCAGAGCAGCCCAGCCAATCCTAGTGCTGCCTACTTGGCCCTGGGCAGGGCTCCCCTAGAAACACTGTCCTGAAGGGGTGATGCTCTGAGAGGGCAGTACCCTGGCAACCTGGGGTGCCCCACCTTGCCCCAGGCCACAGTCTCCTGTCACCCCTTGCCTCCTCCTCTCCACCCATGCTGCCTTCCAGTAGTGTGAGGTGGGGCCATTAGCTCACTGCAAGCCAACCCCATGCAGTCCTCCTGGCCTGACCTCAGGGTCGATGGTGACCCACGCTTTCTCAAGGGCCCCCACCCAGCAGGGGCCATGGTCTCTACCCTCTGGAAGTGACAGTTGGTCTGGGGCTTCCCAAATGCCTGGAATCTGAGCCCTCACACCTGGAGGCATAGGCAGGGAGGTGCTATCTGTTTGGCCCCATCCCCTTGGTCAGGGCTTCTCCCTGGGGACCAGGGGGGGATACTTGCCTACATGGAATACTGCCTGGGGGATCAGTGATGGACTGTCTTCACTCCACCAAGGAGCTACAGTTCAGTGGGCTGAGCACACCCTGTGGCTAAAACTCCCAACTCAAAAGATGGCGGAAAAGGCTGGAAAGTACCCTCGGTTTTTGACAGTGTCTTTCAGTGCCTGAAATCTCGCTCTCAGGGCCCCTTGAGAGGCAGGTTTCTGGTCAGTATAAAGAAGGGTATGTCTTTTTAATGGAGAAGAGACCACCTCTAAATCAGTAAACTCCCTGTCTTCAGGGGTGTGCAAGTGGAAGCTATCTGGTGGCAAGGCTGCTCTTGGGGAGCCTGGAGGTGCAGGGGGACAATGGCTGGGTGAGAGATTCTGAGACAGGCTGAGATCAGCAGTTCAGACAGCTTTGTCGGGACCCTGTGCTTGGGTCCCTGGATCCTGGCCTGGAAGGTGACCCTCCCAATGCCAGGCAGGAAGAAGTTCTGGAGACTGTCTCTGACTGGAATCTGGGCCAAGGCTTCCATTTTACTGATGGGGAAACTGAGGCCTACAGAGGTATGGGGACTTGTCAAGGGGGTGCAGTTGGTCGTGTCAGGGCAGGACCATGCTCCAGCCTCCTGGCGCCCAGACCTTGATTTGTTCTTTCTTCTGCTCCAAAGTGCACACACTCACATTGCGCAAACAAAACGTGAGCGCGCGCGCGCACACACGTGCCTACATGGAAGGGGGCGTCCACATGGGACACAGAGAACATTCTCAAGACTGGGTGGTACCACTCCAGGCCTGGGACACCAGGAAGGTGGGGTGAGGGGTTCTTCAATGGAGCCCCTTCCTTTCCCTGCCCTGCAGTTAGGAAAAGAAGGAGGGAAGGAAGGAGGAAGCTGTTGCTTTGTGTATTGTTTCTCGTCAGGAAGATGAAATGGCTTCTGGGAGCAAATAAGAGGCTCCTTGAGACCAGCAGCTTTCTCACTCAGGGGCTCCTTCCCTTCTCCTCTCCCTCCCACCTCCAGCCAGTAGTGGCATTTGTGTGGGTGGGAGGGACACAGTGGCGCACCAGAAATGCCATCAAACACACCAATGCAAATATACAGCGTGGCCTTCCAGGGCATTGTGTCGTGCAGAGACCTCTGCGTACAACTGTTCTCAGGGATGGCTGAGGCACTTAGCCAGTACCTGATCTGTTATTTAAATGTCCCACATGGAATTATGAAGTGTGTTCTTTAATTTTGGAGGTACAGGGTCTAAATGTTTTCCTTAATTCAAGGTTGTTAATTATGTGGTTCAAACTCTCCCTGTTCGCGTTATTGGTATTTTTTTTGACTACTTTGCTCTATGAGTTTCTAAGAGAGGATTGTTAAAAATCTTTCACTCTGGTAGTGGATTGATCCAATTCTCCCTGTAATTCTGTCAGTGTTTGCCTTATTTATTTTTAGGCTATGTTATTTGGCAACTACAGGTAGGGAATTTTTGTAGTTCTTTGATAGATTTTTAAATTTTAATTATTGTGTAATAAACCACTTAAGGTCTAACAAAAAGAGAAGGAGAGAGTAACCCCAGACACTGTGGTCATCCACAGATACAGCAAACATTGACCTACAAAGACACACAGAGGTACAAAAAAACAGAAAGACTCCCTCGTGTGAATACCCATGGAGGATTGACATTGCCCAGCACTGAGTTCTGGAGGCACTGGGGCAGGTGACGCAGGCTTTGATGTCTCCTGGCTCCTGTCCCTCGAGAGCAAATTCTTGGAGCCTCAGTCAGGCCAGCCTCTGGAGCTTACTCTTCCTAAGGGTGGAGTACCAGGGTACCCAGGCTGAGTCATGGTCCCTGGGCCTTGGAACCTACCCATGGGCAGCAGAGAGGATTCAGAGCCTGGGGAGGTCAGCCCTGGGATGCCCTAGAGCTCGAGACACATTGGAAGTCACAGTCATCTCTGCCAGCTCCCTAGTCCAAGCTGGGAGTAGCCAGGTCCCTTGGCTGGGCCTAGGAGCTTGCTTTATGGGCCTGTGAGTGTGGGGTGGCACAGATCCTGGGCAAGGATCCTGTTTTTGCTACATCCTTCCTGGGCCTTGGCCTCCCCACCTGTCCGTCATCTCTCTGAGCCCTTGGACAAGCTAACCTGGAAGGTCCCCAGAGGATAATGGCCAAATCATAGTTGTCCAGGTAGAAAGTGAGTAAGACAGACTTGGGTTCAGAGAGCTTATCTGGAGCCAGAGTGCCCCTAGAGAGGATGAGAGTTCTAAAAAATTAATGTTCTCTGACACTTTGGTCACTATACAGTGAGCTTCACTCTACCTGTTTAAGCAGGGAGATGGTGAGGGTCCCCCATCATTGTCCTCAGCAAGCCCCCAGGCCAGAAGCAAGTGCAGGAAGATTGTTTCCTACAGGAGGCACAGAGAGGTCAATGAGGGTGTGGCTGGGTGGGAGCAGAAGCTAACTACAGCCAGGAATCCAGGAGAGCTTCTAGGAGCTGGTGAAGTCTGAGCAGTGGGCTTCAGTGGGCTCAGTGCACAGCTGTCTTTCTGATGCTTCAGAAGGAATGTCTGGCTTATTCTTTAGTCTGTACTTGCATTTGCAAAATGATTACTTTTTTTTTTTGGCCTTAATATAGACTATAAACCTGGGACAGAGAAAACTACCTAGGATATGCAAACATTTTTCTTTTCCAATCACAAGTGACCAAAACTGGAATTGGCCCCATTTAAGCAATTGTTTCAAATTGAATGATAGTAAACAGTAACATAAGTTTTGAATATGATGCATGTGATGAGAAAGAACCAGTGTTTTACCTGCTCTTTCCTGGACATTAAGTTTCAATGGGCCTTTAAATGCCCTTTCCAATCCTGAATGGCCAAGGTTTTTCAGATGTAAGTACTATGAGTACTTAAATCTGAAAGGAGAGCTGTCAGTAGACATTGAAGCCATCAGAGAAGGTTTCCTGGTGGTGGTGGTGGTGTTGGTAGTGGGTACTGGAGAGGAAGGCCATCAGTCTATGTGGTTCTCAGCAGTCAGGAAGGAGGTGCATTCCAGAGTTCCCAGGACAGGGGGCTGCCCCGTCCTCTTCCCAAGGACTCAGAGCACAGGGTCTAGAACCTCACCCTCTGCTCTGCCCACTTCTAGTGAAAAGAACAGCACCTTTGTGTAGGGGCTAGGACTCTCAGAAGAGGAGATGTGCTCCCCCAGCCACTTTTGTGAGGGGGCAGGGCTGGAGTGAAGGGAGTCTGAAGCGGGAGCCACTTACAGCGACAGCTCCCGTAATCAGCAAGGAAGGGCTGGTTTCAGGACTCCTGCCAGCTTGCAATTAGGCTGTCCCTGGAGAGCAGAGGAGCGAGGCGGAGCAGGAGCCATGGGCTTCCCTAGCGCTCAGACCTAGAGGGGCATGGGCCTCAGGTGTGTGTGTGGGAGGGTGTCAATACCAGCCAGCCTGGCCTCACCAGCCTCACACCCATCAACCCCACTTTGGACAGGCTTCTCTCGGCAACTCCAGCTGCCCTCACTCCTGTTTGCACACCCCCATGCAGGCAGGGCCCCACCCCACTGCTTGTCCCTCAGCCCTGTGAATGTGACGAGAAAGAACCAGAATAAGAGCTGCAATCACTGCCCTGTCCCTCCTGAATCATTTTCCAATGTCCCCAAGAGAGCCCCTATTGCCTTTGAATTTCCCAGCTGTTCTGGAGATTGGGCAGGGGCAATCAGATCCATCTTGCAGGTGGGGAAACTGAGGACTAGAGAGCTTGTGCTCACAGTGGCAGCAAGAAGAGTCAGAACCTTAACGCAGGGCTTTTGCCTCCATGGCCCAACCTGGGGGCAGAAAGAGAACTGGGCACTGTCCAGAGGGCTGGCAGGCCTAAGGGACCACAACCCTGGGGTCTGCGGGAAAGGCCCAGAGCTGGGGCAACAGGGCAGGGGATGTGAGTCATTCCCTGTAAGCCTGGGCTGCAGACAAAGGCGGGAAGAGGATTGTTCTTGTGAGATGGCCTCAGGGTGGGGCTGGGAAAACCTCTGGAAGGGTGGCGGTGAACCCTCAACCTGGAATTTTGCACAATGCCTCATGGCCTTGGAGACACCCCCCTACACTCAGGACAGAGCAGGGAAGAGAGGCTTCAGCTCTGGCAGGTTTGGGTCAGCCAGTCCAGTTCAGGGGAAAGCAGTCTGAGTGGCCACACCTGGGCATCCTCACAAGCGGGACTTTGCCGATGTGGTCCAACTCCTGTGTGGGTGCGCTGGTTTCTGGGACGCCCACACAGAAGGGGCTGTGAGGGCTCCCTGGGGAGGGGTCCTCCTGGGGCAACGGCAGGGGCAGGGCTTTCGTGGCCTCACGGCAGCGCCCATTCCCTTCTCTTTCCATGAGTCATGTTTCTAAAAGTGGCCCTGGAACAAGTTGACAGCCAGAAGATGGTGGAGGGGCCTGTGAGGCCGGGGGAGAGGGAGGGCAGGGCCAGGCCAGGAGGGAGAAAGAAGAGAGAAAGAAGGGGAGACAGGGAAGGCAGGAACAACAGGAATGGGAGCGAGACTACTGTGCCAGGGAGCGAGATAGACAGGAGTGGAGAAGAACGGACGGAGGGTGGAGGCAACAAGGGAGACAGGCACAAAGGTGAGAGAGAGACAGAGGGAGTAGGGAGAGATGAAGGAAGAAGGCCTGCCCGGGGCCTTGGGACTTCTAGATGCAGTAAGCATGGGGTGGAATGTTCTGTACTTCTGGGGTATGAAGCCATGTCCTCAGCTGCCCCCTCCCCCGCCACCATTCGTGTCCCTTCTCCTGGGAGTGTCCCTGACCATCTCCCGTGCCTGGTGCTCACCCTTGGCCTATGGCCTCGGGTACCACAGTGCACCAGGCTGTGGCTGGATGGAGCTGTATGTAGAGGCCCCAGCTCACCCTCTCTGACTTCCAGGCGGGGTGGGGCCAGGTCTAGGGAGGTACTAGGGGCCCGGATGGAGCTTCATCAACAGGTGTAGGAGGGCACAAGACCCGACCCCCATGACCTGCTGTGGTGCCTGGCCCCTCTGGGCACCAAGGGGCCAAGTGATGGGTTCTAAAGACCCATCCGAGCATCTGCCTCTTGGTCCCTGGAACCTGGGGAGCCTCAGGATCTGGGGACACAGTGCCTGCCTGCCCTGCTCACTGGGCCTGATGCCCTCTCCCCAACAGCTGGCTCATGGCGTGAACTCAGGCCAAGGCCTAGGCATTGAGATCATCGGCACCCTGCAGCTGGTGCTATGCGTGCTGGCCACCACTGACCGCCGGCGCCGTGACCTCGGCGGCTCAGCCCCCCTCGCCATCGGCCTCTCAGTAGCCCTGGGACACCTGCTGGCGGTGAGTGGGGCCCAGAAGGAGCTGGGGGTGGGGAGGGCAGGGTCTGCAGGGGACAGTGATGACAGCTCTTGGGGGCTGGGGGTGGCCCCGCCCAGGAGAGGGAAGCACAGGGTGGGCTTTCGGGGTTGGTGTCCCCACCCCCTCCATGTCTCCTTGTCCCCTCCCTTCTTCATCTCCCTGTTTGCCCTCTCTCCCCTCCCATCTCTGTGTCCCTGCCCTTACACTCTCCCTCGCTCCTCCCTCACCCTGTCTCCCTCACAGATCGACTACACCGGCTGTGGCATCAACCCTGCTCGGTCTTTCGGCTCCGCGGTGATCACCCACAACTTCAGCAACCACTGGGTAAGCGACCCACGGCCGCCCCTACACGCTGGAGGGTGGGTGGGAGGTTTTGGCGTCACGTGATAGGCCCGACCCCATCCTGCGGCGTCCTTTCCTGTCTAAGAGGTGCCAGCCAGAACAGAGGCACTCAGGAAGCCGAGGTCTACCATGAAGGGGCTAGGCAGGATCACACCGTGAGCAGTTTTAGGTCCAGCCTCAGTCCTCCCAGCTCAGACCTGCATCCCAGTAGCATGACTGAGAGCGGTGGTTCAAGTCCTGGTTCTGCCACTTTCAGGTTCAGTCCAACTTTGAGCAGCCTCCATGCCCTCTTGTGCCTTGGTTTCCTGAGCTGTGGAGTGGGGATATGGCAGTGCCCACCTTCCCGGGAGAAGGGAAGTTCTCACTCACTGTCTCAGCACAGAGGAGGTGCTCAGTGGTTTTAATGCTGTGGTTGTAGATGTGAATGTTCTGGCCAACCTTTTTTAGACTGTCTGGGACCCTTCTAGAGCTGGGGAGGGTGGGGGCAGTGACCATCCTCAAGAAAGGGCTGGCATTGCCCATGTTTGAGCTGGACCACACAGAGGCAAAGAGATGCCCCTACCACTCAGGGTTCTGGGGGACACTGGAATAGGATGTTGGGGTTTAGCCCTGCGTACTTCTGTGCCAGGCACAAGTAGGAGAGAACCTGTTCGAAGGGGTGGGGTTAAATCGGAAAGCTTCCCGGAGGAGGGGACTTATTAGTGGAGTCTCAAAGTCCCAGTGAGACACCCTCTGAATATACCTGCTCTGTTCCTAGATCTTCTGGGTGGGACCGTTCATCGGCGGAGCCCTGGCTGTGCTCATCTATGACTTCATCCTGGCCCCTCGCAGCAGTGACCTCACAGACCGTGTGAAGGTGTGGACTAGCGGCCAGGTGGAGGAGTATGACCTGGATGTTGACGACGTCAACTCCAGGGTAGAGATGAAGCCCAAATAGAGGGGGCCTGGCCGGGCATCCACACGGGGCGGGGGCAGGGGTGGGCGGAGGGAGGGGAGGGCGAAATCCACGTTGTAGACACTCTGACAAGCTGGCCAAAGTCACTTCCCCAAAATCTGCCAGACCTTTGCGGTCAAGCCTCGTTTGGGGGTGTTTCTGTCACTTTCTTTCTCTTTCTCTGTTTCCTGGCCTCAGAGCTTACAGGGGACCAAGATTTCCCAATTCATCCCCTCCCTCGATGTCACAGAGGAAGTGAAAGAGAGGGACCCGTCTGCTAGTTGTCCCCTCAGAGTGTGACAGAAGGTGTGCCAGAAAGTCCCCCTATCCCAGAGTTGCTCACTGGCTCCCCTGTGTAGGTGCCTGGGGTTCCACCATACTGCTTCATGCTCTTGGGCATGGCCTTCCTTCCTCTCTTGACATGTACCTCACCTCTAAGGGTGCGTGGGGGAGTGGGGCAGAGATCCCAGGAGATGCGGTGCCAGGGGGCAAATTGCAGATACGTTTTGCCCTTTCCATTTGGCTTGCTCCCAGGGCCCTCCCGGGGACTTGCTGCCTGACCTTGGAATCGTCCCTATCTCGGGGCCCCGTGACCTCCATCTGCCAAGTGTCAGCCCTAGGGAGAGCTATAAGTGCCTGAGGCCCCGCCTAGGAGTCCATCAGTGTGGACACACCACAGGCTCTAGAAGATGCAGTCACAACCAGGGTTGCTCCTACTGCTCGCCCTGGGTTCTTACCCCAAGTACACAGCTGCAGCCACACACCTCTGTGTACGGTGTGTGCACATGTGCACTTGCAGACAGGCGACAGAGCAGAGATCGACCAGCAGTGCCATAGTCGGAAGCTTCTCTTCCCCGTGGAGAGACTACCCCGGTCAGGGCCGGCCATCACAGAATGGAGGCCCTTTAGAGGGCCAAGGAGGCATGTCTGTATTACTCCACGGAGTTTTAGCTGGTCTTTCCACCCGTCACTGTATTATCTTGGTTTTTATGTCAACCTCCACTTCCTCTTGTCAGGGTAGACACAGGTCACCATTGTGCTGTGTGCTTCGAGGAAAGAGAACTTGGGTTATCTGACGCCCAAAGCCCGAGTCCATGGTGCAAATCAGCCCGTGGAGGCTGATGCCCTTGCTGGGCCCCTAGGGAGGTTCCAAGTCCCCGGCTGATCCTGAGTGGGGAGGAGCAGGTCAGCCCCTGGTGGGGACATTCACCGTGTGACCCAGGCCACAACTTGCGCTCCTCGTTGACCTAGAGGGGAGAGGCCAGCCAAGACCTGATGAAGTAGCCACTGCTGCAGCCCAAAGGCAGTTCGGAGCAGAGTCTGAGTCTGCTTAGGAGGCTGGATTCTTTCATTCATCTATTCACATAAGTCTAGTCAGTTTCACCAGAGCCAGAGCAGCTCCGCCACTGTGCCCTTAGTCATGATGACAACGTAAACCAAGAGACATGATTACAAAGGTATTTAGAAGCAGCGGGACAACCAGGAGGCCCTTAGCTGTCACCAACACATCACATTCGTGAACTCTCTTCTCCATTTCCTAGCAGGAACTTCTAGCTCATTTAACAGATAAGGAAACTGAAGCCCAAGGTCCCACAGCTAGATCGTGATTTGGCCAGGCCTAGCAATGAAGGCCATGTCTCCCTGGACCGTGAGGCTGACCCCACTCATTTCCAGCGTCTCAGTTTCTGCATGGACAATGGCCAGGGGCTAGGAGTGGGGAGGTTTGTGATGGGGGGAGGAAGGGGGGACAGACTTACCCTCTGCCTGGTTCTGGCTACTGCATACCAGGACCCTGCATCTGTCTGCTCTGCATAAATGTCTCTTGGGCATTGGAATTTTATTATATGTTAAGAAAATAAAGGAAAACGACTTGCAAGGTCCTCCGGGCTTCCTGCGTTTTTTCTTCTTTTGGTGCTGTGTCACTACAAGGGTTTGCTGGGTCTGTGAGGAGATCAGTTTTTCTGCTAGGGACTCAGTCTGAAGAGGACCCACTGCCCTCCTGCCCTACTGTCCTTAGGGCCCCAAGTGTCAAGGGATGGTCACAGCCACAACCCAGAACCCCATCTGAGGGACACAGGGTCCTGACTGAATAGGGAGATTTCTGAGGCCCAGTGGGATAACTTTGGAGATCTGGGAGCAGCTGAAAAGGACAGGGCTCTGGCCAAGTTAAGTGGGGTGATGGGAGCCACCTCTGATTCTGGAGTGTGGAAGCGATGAGGGAAAGCAGGACTGAAGTCTAACGGTCCCACGAATCCCCCTCCATCCTTCTCAGAGAGGGGCCCAGGGACACTAGGGAAGGCTCAGGCCTCCCTCCCTCCACTCACACTTGTGACCTGTGCAAACAGAAGCAGCCCAGGAAACTCAGTCTCAAGGGGAAATAGACTTGCTCATCAGATCCCAGGGAGATCTGTCCTGTGTCAGGTTGAGCCTAGGACCCTGGTTCCTGACACTCCCCCCATGCACACACACTCTGGGACATTCTCTCAAAACGAGGCCAACACTTTTGGGAAGATGAGTGCCTAATAATAGGGGACAGACCATTGCAGGCTTGTGCCCTCCACTGAGGCCCTAAGTCTGGGAAGCTAAGGAAAATCAGCCTTGGGGATATCTCAGCAGGTTGCATGGGCAGGTGTTACCATGGGTGTGAGTTAATCAGAAAATTAGAGGTCCTGACACCTCAACCCTGCTCCTGAGAGGCATACGATTCCTGTTTCCCTCTGTGGAAGGCCTGGCTGATGGGATAGAAAGGAGTGCTGGGTCTTAGAGGGCCAAGGACTGGGACCCCCAGAGAAGGCTGATTCAGTGTTGTTAGAACTTGCTTTCTTTTCTTATTCTGGTGAGCACTGGGCCACTGGGCTGCCTCAGCCCCCACAAACTGCCCTGTATCTCCCAGGTTGAGGAGGGGCATGCATGCACGGCAGCATGACAGCCAGGCCATGGGAACAGGGTACATACAGGCTAGCCCACTGCAACCTGGGCCCACTTGTGGTGGTGTGCCGAGGCTGTCTCTCATGGGCCTCCATGGCCAGCTCCCAACAGCCCTTCGTGATTTGTCTCCCTACCTTGTCCCGTTCTCCTAGGTCTGAAGCCCTTCCAGTCCCCAATATGGCCCCCCTGGCCACCCCACCTCAACCCCTGCTCATCCACTCCCATCTCCATTTCATAATAGGGTTTTCCTTATCATATTATTTATTTACGACTTCTAGAATCCTAGAATCAAGAGGCAAGGCCCGAAGAAGAGTTCAGGGAACTGGTATTTCTTGAGCAATTACTATGTGTGGGGAACTGTCCTGTGATTTTGCACTCCTCTAATCTTTACAACATCCTTGGAAGGTAGAGATTGTCTTCATTTATAGAGAATGCCAGGGACCCTGAAGATGAAAAGATTTGCCCAAGGTCACACAGAAGGTTGGTGACAGAGTTGGGATTTGAACCTGTTCTACCTGGTTTCAAAGATTAGGCTCCATTGTGTGGTCCTGGCCTATTTTGTCATGACACCCACTAAGGTAAGATCCGGGCTAGCCAGGAAGCTAGGCTGCATTGCAGAGTATGGCTATTCCTACTGAATGGTGATGGGAAGGAGACAGGGGGAGAAGAGCTGGCCCAGGATCCCTCTAGCATCAGGAGAAGCCCATTCATTCTGGGGCTGGCTGGACATGGTGTCTGCTTGAGACACATTGGCACCACAAGGCCTGAGGCTGTTCCCCTGGCACTGGTCTCACCTGAGTTTCCCCATTGGCTTCCAGAGCCTGCCTACCCTTCTCCCTTGGAGGAAAATGCCTGATAAACTTACCCACTGGAGCACATGAGAAGGGGAAGGGCAATGCTACACTTTAAGGAATAATAATGCACTAAGACTGGGCCTCAGGTACCCATTGGCCTGGGCAATAGATTAGGGCCAAGGTTGTCCCAGACTCCTCTTCATCTTCTGGCCCATTGGTTCAGTGCTGTAAGCACCCCATCTCCTCAGGGCCACCCCTGACTCTGCTCTGCTCAAGTTCTGTACAACCCAACACAGAGGAGAGTTTTGGGGAACTAACCGGGATAGAGTGGGACTCCTTAGGCAATGGGAGCCCTTGTCTTACTTGAATGGAGAGAGTAAGTTTCCTGAAAGCTCCCAGGACTCTACCTTTGTCTTCAGGCTATTGAGCATTCCAGCAACTGCACCTGTGAGATGTTTTGGTGGGGGACACCTGTCACTTCTCTCTGGCTGGGTTCCTGCTGAGACCAAACAATACCACTTCCTCCATCAGACTCTCTGTGACCCTGACCTTGAGACTTGCACATAGGAATGGCTCACCTGGCCCAGAAGGTCATGCCCTCTGCACCTGGCCCAGGAGGAAGCAGGATGTAATCTTGTAGCCGCCAAATCCTAGAGTATTTGTCTTTCCATTAAACTCACAAGGGCAAGAAGTTGCAGCCCTACACTTGCTCCACCTGTTCTGAGCCTTCCTAGGAAACCTGGCACAGGTTAGATCAGCCAGAGACCCATGATGAATGTTCATATCGACTTGAGGTTGGATTTCAGCCACATGTATTTATGAACTCAAGCATTTGATCAATATGTCCAGGGTTTTAAGTGTTCGAAAGTCTGGGATCTTTATAGATTCAAATTAACCTTTTGATATTTCACTTTCTCCTCCAGAATCAAGGAGTTTCATCTTTTCAGGTTCTGGAGAGTTGCTGAGAGGTCTCTAGGGAGATTTGATCTTTGAATGCACCCCGGACCAGGGTCAGTCAACTGGTCAAATGTAGGTGCGATAAAGCTTGCATGGGGTTATAAGCCCATAGCTCCGGCCATTATCTGTCTCAAGACTTATGTGAGTTCAAAGAGGGCCCAAGAGGAGGGGTGTGGATGGCTCCAGGCAGCCACTTGACCCCAGGACCATGCACCTTTTGGGATTTGGTAGATGCAGGGAGGGGTCTCCCTTTGGGGATTCCTGGGCTGGTCCACAGTATCCCTGGAACCAGAGCCAGGAGCCTGGAAAAGCACTGGAGGAACTGGTGCTGGGGCCTCCGCCCGTGGCGTGGCCAGGCCATGTGCTGGTCCATTGGGATTTTTCCATGGCTCCTGTAGGTCATACCTTCACTCCTCAGAAGCCTCTCAAGGAGGGGAACATGATTAATGTTTTATGGAAGAGTTGCTGGGCATGACACCTTGTTTTCTTTAGGTTTAGAATACAATGAGGACGATGAGTGGAATTTGCTACCCAGCTGGGGGCCAGGGCTGGTCGATCCTGGGGGCTGAGGACCCAAAGGTAGTGATGCTTACTGTCCCTGGTGATCAAAAGGGGGGCAATTCTACAGGCAGGGAAGGCAGGTGAAGCCCTTGCTTACAGCGCTATGTTTGCCTGCCCTCAAGAGACCGTTAGTCCCACCCGCAGCCCAGGGCTGGCGTGCAGAAACGTTCAGGTGAGGAGCATCCAGCAGTTTAATGAATTCAGCCTGCACAGGTGACTCCATGAAGCTGTTCCAATACAACCATATTCTCTGCATATAGGATTCTGCTTATTTTTTTGTTCTTTCCAGTGCATCGATCAGGAACGGGGTGAGGACACAATTGATCCTCAGCTGTACAGGC